CGGTGTAGGGGAAGAGGGACACACGGTCACCTTTGCGGATCTTGTATTCGCACCCATTGTCCATTTTCAGGCTCATGTCCTCCAGAACAGCTCGTGTGAGCACGGGAGCAGCCGTCAAGCGCAGACTCTCATCCACGGCGCTGTCCAGAACCGGGGTTTTGAGCAGCATGTCTCGAGTCAGGTTAATCAGAGGGCCACCGTGCTTCACCTCCTGTCCGGTTTCACGCAGAACCTCATCGACCTCGTTCTTCACCGCCTTCATGGCCTCCGGGTGCTTCATGAGGAAGAGGAGAAGCCAGAATGAAGCGGGACCTGTGTTACCCTGGGACGCCCACAGCAGCAGGAACATGTATCTGTCCTGCATAGACTCATGCATTCCACGCTCGGCACGCATCTGCTGTGACTCAGACACCCAGCCGCTAATGTTCTCTTTGGTGTTCACCTTCTCCACACAGAGGGTGTTCCAGAAAAGTCTCTTTAGCCTCTCTGCTTCCATTTTCTCAGATGGTCCCAGAACTCCATAAGCCAGCTTTGGGAAAAGTTGATCATATTTACGGAACTCATAAAAGAGCTCATTTGACTCCTTTCGGTCAACCTCCTTTACTTTGTCCACGCTTTCTGAAGTCTTGGCTATTTCATTTCCAAAAAGCGCCAGATATCCGGCACGGAACACGATGTTATAGCAGTAAGCGAAGAGCCCATCCTCCTGCCAGGGCCTTTCATCATCATTTCCAGACCTGATATTGTGCAGCATGAGGTTCTGCAGGTTGCTCATCATGGCTTGTGTTATCATCACCAGGCCATCACCCATCAGATGCTTGTTGCTGGATGTCTGAATGAGCTTGTGGTCATCTTCTAAGGGAGAGTAACCAAAAACGCGCTGGACCAGGTGCTTAGCGAACTCATTAAAGTCCAGTTTGGCCCGGGCCTCTTTAACCACCGAGCCGAAGGACAGTGGATCCGTGAGGAAAGTGAAGTAAAACCCTCCCAGCTGCACAGTGAAAATATCCCCGTGCTTCTTTCTCATCCTCTCTAGAAACTTCGCCGTGTCCCTCCTGAACTCCAGGACGTGTCCCAGCCATGGCAGAGGACCTTTAT